TATCCGACAAGATAGAAGACGGCCCCCAGTTCCAGCTGCACCGGCCCCAGCTGAGCCACACAGACGACAGACACACGGCCTCCGTGACCACCTACACTCACATCTCCTACGACAACAACCTGTTCGACATCGCCACCCACCCCGCCGCTCCACGACAGATGGTCATCAAGTTCCAGTCCTATGACGCCATCCACCACTTCCTCAATGTTCAAGGTCACAGCACGAACAGGGGCAACGCCACCTGCCGACAGCTCAACGAGGTGAGAGGGACACACCCCATTGTTTTACATAACGCGTCACGACGCGGGGGAATCAGACGCTCGACAGTTTTTGAGCACGTAGGGTTATTGGTATCATCTCAAAGCCTGTTCACTAACCTTACTTTTGGTGAAAAAAAATATCGGTTAAAGAGAAGTCGAGATATTTGCGATTGAAGGAGGCTCGGGTGGTCTGGTTTAAGAGTTAAAAATTAGCGAGAAAATGGCCGCCAAAGTTTGGAGACCTCCACAGCTGAGAGTCCGTGGAAACTTACATTTTTGTGTCTTTAAACAATGTTTTTCTGTAAAATCCACACAAAAATGTGTTTTTAAATGGATTGGAGCCAAAAAATTAAAATTAGGAAAAAATTGCCCATCAGCCGAAAAAAAAATGCAGGTTTCTTCTTTTAGTAAGGTTTTACGGCGTTCGCAACTGCTTAAGGTCATATGAGCACCAAGGGGTGGATGTCAACAGAGAAGTCCTTACAGGGAATCAGACTTACTCTGCTCACCTCTCTAGCTTCAACAGCACAAAGTCTGCTTCGACTATCGAGGCACCCCGGAAATAGCGGATCACAAGAGATTGACAAACATACAAAATAAATAGAGGAAAATGACCCTTCAGTCAGTAGCACTGTCCTGGGGGGTGGGGGTGGGGGTCGGTCAACGAGGTGAGAGGAACTCACGCTATTGTTTAACATTTTTAATTATCATCGCTTCGGCCCAAACTATAACATAATGTTGTTCTTTCAAAATTACTGTTTCGTTGTATCTACCTACTTCACCCCCCCCCCCCCCCCAAACCATCCCCAGCTGGCTATAAGCGTAGCCTTCAACTCGTCCACCCCTGCCGCACAACGCCGCTACAAGACTTCCGGCCGCCCCATCCTCCTGGCAGACGACAAGAACATGCACAACGGCATCTCCTTCGACACGACCTCGCTCACCCTCAACGAGCAGGACGACGGGCTGCACGTGCAGTCAGTGGCCATGAAGCTGAGCACCGACAGCCCGCTGTTCCCGGGAGTGTTTGACTGCAAGCTTCTGTCTCCTTACAGAGCCATGGAGTGGATGAACGTGGACTCTCTCCGGGCCAAGAAACCCGCGGGAGACTTGACCCTTTGGACCCAGATGTAAAGATTTGACCATCAGGACCAGGATGTAAACACTTGACCATCTGGACCAGGATGTAAACACTTGACCATTTGGACCCAGATGTAAAGATTTGACCATCTGGACCAGGGATGTAAAGACGTTGTTAAGTTCCCTGTATTCGGACAAGTAGAAAGTAACTGAAACAGCAATATGAAAGAACTCAAGTATCATTTTCAAATTTCTTGAATGATATAACGATGTTTTGTACCATTCCCAGTCTCACTCACTCAATTAAACAATGTTTTGCCTAATTCAGTCCCGTGTTCAATCGGTTTTTGTTTGTTAGTTGTTGTTTTGTTTTTTTATCGTGTGTGATTGTTTCATCTTTGATTTATTGAATCAAACTAAATGAAAGACAAGATGAAGGCCACACAATGTTGGGGAAGTCAGGACGGACAGAAACGACGAGAGGGCGACAGAGACAGATGACCAACACGTGGGGTCACCCAGCCACGTTTTCAGCTGCTGGTGAGAGAAGCGAGCGGTCCGTCATAACCTACAGGCCCCGCCCACGACTCCTACACCAATCGTAAGTGAGCTGACTGGTCACTGTTTACCCAGTCTTGAACAATAGACGTTGACGTGAATTTGTGACAGAAGCGTCGCTCGTTCTCCGAGTGGTGGCGGAGCGGCCCATGTGTTTATTTTACTGTGTCTTCCTCGTCTGACACATTTCGTTTTGTTTTTCTCCTCGCACACTGACTTCCTCGTTTCAAACACTTTGTAACCCCCCGGGGCGGTGCTGCTGACTGAAGTGTCTTTAGGCCATTCCCAAACGGGGGGGACATTTTTATGTTTAACATGTTCTTAAGCACAGTAGAATTGTAAATGGGCTGATTTATCCATGTCATGCTCATAACTGTGCCGGAACAACATAGGGGAAACAACATGTACTGTGTTTTCATTCCTCATCCTTACAATCATAATATTTCCTCTACTTCTTTTGTATGTTTGTCACTCTCTTGTGACCCGCTATTTCCGGGGTGCCTTGATAGTCGAAGCAGACGTTGTGCTGTTGAAGCTAGAGAGGTGAGCAGAGTAAGTCTGATTCCCTGTAAAGACTTCTCTGTGACCATAAGTACGAGGTGTTTCAAACTGGTTTGTGATGTCGTTCAGAATAACTACCCAGCATCTTCAACATTTCTTTTCTGTTCGCTCGTGAGTAAACTGGACAGGACCCACCCGGGTCTTCATGAACCATTTCCCAAGATACAACACAGAAATATTTTCTTTTTTTTAGTTTAGTCTTAGTGAGTGTTTTACGGCACTTGCAAAACAATAAGGTGATATAAGTGCCGAAGATAAGGTACGTTACAAGAGAGTAACAAACACAAAAAGGAGGGGGGATAAAGAATAGATGTTGGATAAGAAAGAAGAAACAAACCACACCAGAGCACCCGCCAATCACCCACAATTATTTTCAGACAACATCAGAATGTGACGGACGTCAGAACAACAGATCACAAGTCGTTTAGAGCAGAGATAACGAGAGGCCACAGAAACAGACATTCTCTTCACTTTGGTCAATGACTAAGAGGTAAAAACAAACAAACACACACACACACACACACACACACACTCACACACACACACACACACACACACAGACACATACATGCACACACACACTCACACACACACACACACACACACAAAAAGAAGGAGCACTTGACCCATGGATGAAAACCACAGTTTAATCGACTCAGTGATTCAGACGATAGTCGGAAACAATATATCGTTATGTCACACAAGAAAGGAATTCTGGAAGAAGAACAAAATAAATAGTTTTGTCTTTGGGCGAAAAGAGAAACAGAATTACCGTCCTTGGGTGGACAACTGGGTGGTTCTTGGCTTGTCAATGTTCGTTATTGTTGATTGTAGTTTTCTCGTTGTTCCTTCATTGTTTGGCCGTGCCTTGTAGCCTACTGGGTCTGCTTTTGAAATATGAACATTCACTCTGTTCATCTCCTCTTACTGTGGGTGGTTGGCGGGTGCTCTGGTGTGGTTTGCTCCTTCTTTTCTATCAAATATCTATCCTCTTTATCTTTCCTCCTTCTTTTTTATGTTTGTTACTCTCTTGTAACACCTCTAATCTTGGGCACTTATGTGACCTAATTGTGTTGCAAGTGCCGTGAAACACTTACTAAAACTATAACATTCTTTTAATCTTCTCTTACAGTTGTGTAATCTAATTTTTGTGAACATTTGTGAACTCCCCCATTGCCCAAAGTAGACAATTTAGGAGAAGCTAACATCGGCTGAGGGGGATGAAATATCTCCCGATAAAGACGGATCAGGCGCGAGACAGAATAATCTCGCTCGCTTCAGAACTCGTGAAGGTTTTTTGGGGTTTTTTTCGTACAGGTCGAGGGTAGTTTTGATGTCTTCCCTCCCGGTGTGAAATAAAACCATGACGTAATGGTCATGACATAACGTCTGGGCGTCAGAACAAAGGGAGATAACAATACAATTGTCGCCACTACTCACCCATAAACATCGACCAATGGAAGTACAGAGGCATCTTAACTACAGAATGTTCCTTCCAACCCGGCCTTACCAATGCCAGAAATGGCGACAAGATACAGCACAGCATGGGAAAAACATGGCCCCTGAGATTAAATGCCTCAGAAAATTAATCAAGTCACAAGGAAAGTCTGCATCAAAAACAAAACTGTCCGACATTTAATTAACAGCGATTGCACCGGTCATGAAATACACAAAACATCGAAGAATCGAGTTATTCGGTCATGGAACACACAGAACATCGAAGAATCGAGTTATTCGGTCATGGAATACACAAAACATCGAAGAATCGAGTGGTTCGGTTATCTGAAGAGACTGTCACAAAACCAACAAGTGGGTGGTTGACGGGTGCTCTGGTGTGGTTTGCTCCTTCTTTCCTTTAAAAAATCTATCATCTTTATCTCCCCTCCTTCTTTTTTGTGTTTGTTACTCTCTTGTAACACCTCTAATCTTCGGCACTTATATGACCTTATTGTGTAGCACGTGTCGTAAAACTCTTACTAAAATAAAACAAACCAACCAGCTACACAAGCTCACAACTTGACAGAGTCCAGACACAAAGGTGGGGGAAGACTTCACTCAAACTGGACTAGATGGACGTCGGTAAAGAGGTCCTCCAACAACGGAATAACACGGCATGTCAACAACAGAAGCCAAATTATATCAGCCAAATATATCAATGATAAAATAACAAGTCAACAACAGAGGCCTGCCATCTCGCCCTTGCCCTTGATCGGAAACAGACATCCCCTCCCCTCGACGTCCCACCACACAAGAGGAAGGCTAAAGTCAAGGCAACAACACAACACTCAGATGTGTGTACAGAGGGCGAGCTCTGTCTCAGACGTAAGTCTCCAGTTCTGTACAATCAAAAACTTCTATTTGACAGGCATGACACTGTGTAGATTCCACGCAACATTTATTTCTTCTCAAAGAAGGACGAAGGGGACAGCGATGTGAAGACAGGGAAGAATTACGCGCCAAGCAGTCGTGTCCTCAGAGTTACCAATACCATGAGGTCAGAAACCAAATGCTCTATCTGCTTTGTCAAAAGTATAAGATTATTCGGAGTCGTTATCAAAATATACAAAGAATTGTATTTTTAAAACGTTGACATGTTGAGAAACTCATAATTTTTACCGTCCGATTTCTCAAAACTAGGAACTGAGCAGAGGGAACTTTGTCGTTCTGAAGTAGCGACATGCTGGGCCATAGACTGAGCAGAGGGAACTTTGTCGTTGTGAAGTAGCGACATGCTGGGCCATAGACTGAGCAGAGGGAACTTTGTCGTTGTGAAGTAGCGACATGCTGGGCCATAGACTGAGCAGAGGGAACTTTGTCGTTGTGAAGTAGCGACATGCTGGGCCATAGACTGAGCAGAGGGAACTTTGTCGTTGTGAAGTAGCGACATGCTGGGCCATAGACTGAGCAGAGGGAACTTTGTCGTTGTGAAGTAGCGACATGCTGGGCCATAGACTGAGCAGAGGGAACTTTGTCGTTGTGAAGTAGCGACATGCTGAGCCATAGACTCTGGCCCAAGAAGACATGGTCATTTCATTTGACCGCTGGCTACTTCGGATGGAACAATCGTGTATTGTTTCTATACTTGTTTCTGTAGGTATGTACAAAATATCACGTCTGTAAAATACAAATAGTTGATTGTACAGAACGAGGAAACTTAGTTCACGACCTCAGTGCTTCCAGGGTTCTATTTCCTTTTCTTTAACATTGAAAATGAGACATCTTCTTAAGCTTACTCTTTGTTGTGAACTGTTTTCACTGTTACTAAAACTGGAGATAGGACAAGAAAGCTCTGAGGTCGCGAGTTCTTGGACAGAACTGATAAACCCCCTCGGTTCTGACCTCCCCCTCCCCCCCCCCCCCCCATCTACTTCTCTGACAATCCCCTCAGTTCTCCCCGCCCAGCCCCACCCGCAATAATTTATCGACAATTTTCCTTAAGTCGGAACTCCCCCGACCCCGCCACTATTCCTCAACAATCCCCTCAGTTCTGATCTCCTAGGAAAGAATCGACAGGTCACTTCCCGAACAACCCCCTCGGCGCCTCCTCCCTGAGAGAGTCCACGTTCATCCACTCCATGGCTCTGTAGGGAGACAGCAGCTTGCAGTAAAACACTCCGGGGAACAGGATGCTCCTCGTGCTCACCTTCATGGCCACCGACTGCACGTGCAGCCCGTCGTCCTTCTCCACCAGCTTGAGCGGCTGTGTGGACCACGAGAAGCCGTTGTCGGTACAGATGTCGTCTGCCAGAATGATGGGACGGTTGGACGCCTGGTAGCGCCGTTTGGCGTCCGGAGTCGACGCATCGAAGGCTATACTCACGGCAAGCTGGGGGGGGGGGAGAGGGGGTGCAAGAAAGTAGGGGAGAAAAGGTGGGGAGGGAGGGGAGGGAGGGGAGGGAGGGGAGGGAGGGGAGGGAGGGGAGGGAGGGTATATTTCAGTCAAAAGGAAGCATAACATGCTTAATCTAATAAATTAAATAATTTCTGAAAGAATATTGTACTTGTACATTGACAGTATAATTGAATGGAAACAAAGACTGTCACCAAAAGCTGGGGACAGAAAGAGACAAGGTACCCATCTAAAGGGCAATAACTCGGTGACCTCTTTACCCAACTTCCTCCAAACTTGGAACAAATCAAATGTACCCACGGGGACGTCAAGTCTGTTAATACATGTATAAGATGATCCACTCACGGGTCAGAGGAATGTAGAGGGCTATCTTTTTTTATTTCTGTCACACACATGGGACCCGAGTATGATCCCCCAAAGGGGAAAACATGTATTGAGTATCTCAGTCTGTCTGCCGGGATGTTGCGTCCCTCTCAGCGCGGTTGCCCGGGTCTAAATTGTGTCAAGGATGGCGTAACACACCGGCAGCATTAAAAAGAGGAATTGTGCAAGACTGTGTTAAGTTATCATCACTCTATTTCTTAAAGTAAGTTTTAGAATAATCATGTTAGTTCCTTTCACCTCGTCGAGTTTCCTGTAAGTAGAATCGTTCTGGGCTGTGTTATGTCACCATAATATATTGTTTTAAGCTGATCTATTGTGTTCATAGGTGCTTAAAACACAATACTACACAAAACTCTAAGTTATTTGTGCACAACTGTGAGTTCCCGTCATCTCGTTGAGTTTCCCACAAGTTGAGTCGTTCTAGATCGTGCTATGGCACCATGAATTATTATTCTAAGCTCATCAAAACTGTGTCCATAGGGGTATAAAAGAAACTCTAGGTAAGTTGTCTACAACTGTGAGCTGTTGTTACCTCGTTGAGCTGCCTGCACGTGGAGTCGTCCTGGCCCGTGTTGTGGTAGATCTATGCCGTCATGATATATATTATTCTAAATTATTTATAAATTATGTCCATATAATATACAACTGTGAGCTGTTACCTCGTTGAGCTGCTTGCACGTGGAGTCGTCCTGGCCCGTGCTGCGGTCGCCGGTGAGGAAGAGATGGATGGCGTCGTAAGACTTGAGCTTGACGCTCAGCTCCGTGGGGCTCTCCGGGATAGTGCTCACGTCGATGGGGTTCCGCGCGTAGTCGATGAGAGTGTACGTCTTCACGGACACCTTGTCTCCGGAGCGGGAAAACTCGGGCTTGTTGATGGTGAACGCCGGGTTACTGGCCACTTTGTTCTTCACCTGGGGGGGGGGGGGGTGGAGGAGGGGGAGTTCAGGTTTATAAGATATTGCCAACATTTCATTCAAAGTATGGCGCTCATATGACCTTATGCAGTTGCGAGCGCCGTAAAACCCTCTACTATAATTAAAATTTTAAAAAGTTTGTTTTGAGCGACAGAAATGAAGAATAATAGAAAGAAGAGAAAAGAGATCATTTTCTTCCTGGTTTGTTTTCCTAACTTAAAGTTTTGTACAAAAGTACTTTCAAAGTCTGTTTTCAGTAAATAGAACATTAAAAAATATAGAAAAAACAGATAGAAAGAAAAAGAAAGTTATTAATTGAACAAATAGAATCAAAAGACAGAGTGCACCATCACTCTTGCTTTTTGGGGGGGTTGCAAATAGTTCAAACAGGTTCCGGAAAGGGTTAACGATGGGTACATAGCAAGTCCGTACTGAGGCAAGAATAACTAATAACAGAGCACCCAAAACAAAAACAACGATTTAATTAAGTCAGTGGGGACGGGGCAACGTTTCAACAAGATATGGTTACGTCATAAATATACTCCATCTTCCTGCTTGGATATTTCCAACGTCACGCGGTGAGAAACAGGCGGCAGGCAGCCTGGCCCGGGACGACCATAATTGTGTTGACAGAGGCATACAAACACTGAGAAAACTCGGTGACCTACTTACCATCTGTAGCTGTATTATTACTATTATTTAGTATTCCTCATATTCAGTTCATGCCCTACCATCATTATCACTCTGCTCCCCTCAGGGACTCACGCGTTTAGTTTCATTTGTCCGTGCGGTCACTCATCATTTAAGTTCGTTCTACTTCACTGTCTTGTGTCTTCCTTCATTCCGTTCTACATCCCTGTCTTGTGTCTTCCTTCATTCCGTTCTCCATCCCTGTCTTGTGTCTTCCTTCATTCCGTTCTACATCACTGTCTTGTGTCTTCCTTCATTCCGTTCTCCACCACCGTCTTGTGTCTTCCTTCATTCCGTTCTACATCTCTGTCTTGTGTCTTCCTTCATTCCGTTCTCCATCCCTGTCTTGTGTCTTCCTTCATTCCGTTCTCCACCACCGTCTTGTGTCTTCCTTCATTCCGTTCTACATCCCTGTCTTGTCCTCTTGTGTCTTCCTTCATTCCGTTCTACATCACTGTCTTGTGTCTTCCTTCATTCCGTTCTACATCTCTGTCTTGTGTCTTCCTTCATTCCGTTCTACTTCACCTTCTTGTGTCTTCCATTTCATTTCAGTTGATGTCGTCATCACTTGTACCCTCGTTGTATAACTTCACCGACAGAGGCGTACAAAAGTCTGAGAAGACACAGTGACCTACTTACTGTGAGAACACAGTGACCTACTTACCGTCAGCTGTTCCTGGAGGTCCGCGGCCACCTCTTTCTGTGCCCGCACTGACCAGGGTGAGCTGTCGCCGGTCTTGTCCATAGCCTTCACCGACAGAAGGGGCTGGGGGGGGGGGGGTAGTTGGGGTCAGTTTTACGGCATTTGCAACTTGGATGGGTCATATAAGGGTCAAAGATTCGAGGTGTTACAGAGAATAGCATACACAGAAAAGATGGGGGGAAGAGATATTGACGATGGACCTTTGATAGGAAAGGAGCAAACTACACTAGAGCACCCACCAACCACCCACATAGAATACAATATATTTGATATGAATGAATCGATCGTTCTCTGCACAGATTTTTCCATCCTGTTTTCTTGATCTAAAACGTAAAAAGACAGACAACAACACGTGTACATTGAACTATACAAATGTGTCTGTTCTGGTGAGAGTATGACAGGTGGACATAAGTCACGACAAACATCTTTTCAGAAAAAACCTTAATGTCCCATCAACAAACAATACTCTTAAACAAAAACTCTGAAACACTTTCAGAAAAAGCGTAATGTCGTTCACCTGGAACCTGGTCCCGGCGTCCGTGAAGGCGCCGCTGATGGCGGCCTTGGCCTGGTCCACCTTACACAGGTTGAAGGTGACGCTGATGAAGTTACTGACGTGCTCGCCGATCTCCTGGTGGGCCTCGGCGTCCGAGATCTCCGGCTTGAGGTCATACCTGGGCAGGGGGGAAAACTGGAAGAGCTGTATAATTTGTTGATGTCATACCTGGTCAGGGGGGAAAACTGAAAAAACTGTATGTGCGCACATGACTGCTCCCAACTCTAAAGATGCACTAAATTCCCTGAGTAGAAGAGAACAAGTCACGATCTTTCGCCTGCGAACACAACACATCCCACTGAATTCCTTCCTAAATAGAATCCTCAAGGATACCCCACCCGACTGCCCGTTGTGCGACTGCCAGGATGAGACAGTACCACACCACCTCTTTAACTGCCCTGCACTTAGCGACCTGCGTGGTACCTTCCTACCTACCTACCTGCCTCCCCAGACATCGGAAATACTCTATACAACGACAAAGCACAGCTGATAAAAACCTGTACATTCTTTGCCACATGGACAGGCCGAAGGGCGAGAACTCAAATGGCCGCTAGATCGGAAAAGTAAAGTAAAAAAGTATGCTATACGTAGCCACAAGGTATGTCACCTGACCAGCCAGCCTCGAGAGCCTACAACACCAAGCACTCAGGCTATAAAGGAAGAGGAAGGCCACGCAAAAGGTGGATCGAGGGTGTCAAGGAAACCCTGAGAAAACATAACATCACAACTGAAAGAGCTGCGGAGCTGGCCTACCATAGAAAACTGCATCTCCCCTCGACGCTTAATGGAAACTTTACTTTACTTTACTTTATTTTTCCAATCCAGCGGCCCTTTGCGTCTTAACGGCAACAGAGGATGAACAAGTCAAAGTAAGTCATACCTGGCAGGATGAACAAGTCAGTGTAGGACATACCTGACAGATGAACAAGTCAGAGTAGGACATACCTGACAGATGAACAAGTCAGAGTAGGTCATACCTGACAGATGAACAAGTCAGAGTAGGTCATACCTGACAGATGAACAAGTCAGAGTAGGTCATACCTGACAGATGAACAAGTCAGAGTAGGTCATACCTGACAGATGAACAAGTCAGAGTAGGTCATACCTGGCCACTATGCCGGGCATCGGTCCGGAGGCGAACTGGGCGTGGTTGGATCCCTTGATGTTGAGAACGGGCGTCCGGTAGAGGGCGCTGGGGGTCTTGGAGATGTCGTTCACGAGTTCTCTGTGAGGGGGGGGGGTAAGAGGGTGGAAGGGAGAGGGGAGGATGGGAGGATGGAGGAGAGAGAAAGAGATTGGATTGCAGGAGATGGTGAAGGGAGGTGGAGGGAGTGGGGGGGGTGAGTGCAGATAGCAGAGAGAGAGAGAGAGAGGGGAGAGACAGAGACAGACAAAGAGACAGACAGACAGACAGACAGACAGACAGACAGACAGACAGACAGACAGACAGACAGACAGACAGACAGACAGACAGACAGACAGACAGACAAACAGACAGACAAACAGACAGACAGACAGACAGAGACAGAGATAGAGACTGAGAGAGAGAGACAGAGAGAGAGAGAGACAGAGAGAGAGTGAGAGAGAGAGAGAAAGAGAGAGAGAGAGAGAGAGAGAGAGGGGGGGGGGGATCATCCAACACACAAACAAACAACAAATAGCTAGCAGAACAAAAAGTAGACCTAACGTAAAAAAAACCTAGATTCTAGCAACTGGACGGCAATAATGTAGACCTAGGCCTCATTTAAGAGAATCTTTGAATATATAAAAACGAGCTATCGAAATATAGGCAAAAGAATCTAGAGTCTGGTAACTGGATCAAAATGTAGGATCCCTCAACACTCTAAAGAAAAGCAAGATGAAAAATATCGAGCGTCGGTGTCCCGCTCTAAACGCTTATCTGCAAAAGTAGGTCATACATCTTTTTTTTGGGGGGGGGGGGGGGGGGCTGAGATCGTGACGTTATTCCCGCCCGGAACCACGATTGGTGATACCTGAACTCTAAGGGACAATAAGACAGAAACTTGACGTCTGTTCCCGAACAAAAGTTTGGCGGATATCCGGGTACAGTCGGCCTAAAGTAGATCTCAAAACCGGATCGAAACTGTAACCGAATACGTGACACACTCACTTGTAAGTCAGAGCAATCCGGGTAATGCGGGTCTGCCCGTCCAGTTCTCCGGATAGGGTGAGAATCGGTTTTGGGTACCCGCTGAGCGAGTTGCCGCTGGTGAGGTAGGAGCCTAGGAGGACCACGGCCTTGAGGGGGGAGTCTTTGGCGTAGGAGGGGAGGAACACACCTGGGGGGGGGGGGGGAGGGGGATAGAGCCATCATCGTCTTCATCATCATTATTTTCATCATCGTCTTCATCATCATTATTTTCATCATCGTCTTCATCATAACTATTTTCATCATCGTCATCATCATCATTATTTTCATCATCGTCATCATCATCATTATTTTCATCATCGTCATCATCATCATTATTTTCATCATCGTCATCATCATCATTATTTTCATCATCGTCATCATCATCATTATTTTCATCATCGTCTTCATCATCACTATTTTCATCATCGTCTTCATTATCATTATTTTCATTATCGTCTTCATCATCATTATTTTCATCATCGTCTTCATCATCATTATTTTCATCATCGTCATCATCATCATTATTTTCAACATCGTCATCATCATCATTATTTTCATCATCGTCATCATCATCATTATTGTCATCATCGTCATCATCATCATTATTGTCATCATCGTCATCATCATCATTATTTTCATCATCGTCATCATCATCATTA